AATGTTGTACATTCAAAGCCAAAGAGAACCATACACTTGATGAAGGCTAACCAACGGGACGTGGGCGTACTGGTTGCACGGTATCTGTGTCAGTTAAAGATTAAGGAAACCACAACACGTGACTAAGGCTAACGACCAACGGGACGTAGGCGTACTGGTGTATGGCAGAGCACGATACAACCAACGGGACGTAGGCGTACTGGTTGCGTTGTGGAGACAAGTCTATTTAAAGACCCTGAGGAAAATAGCTTCTCAGGGTTGTCAATTGTCTTGAAACTGGGCGCCCCTAAACTCTCCATATCTCAAATATAACCTTTGAACACTCCTTATCTCGAAAAAGCTTAAATAAAATGTATACTTAACCTTATACTAATATTATTTTCTCTTGCTGGTATATTATAAACAGAGCGAAAGAACCTCTGAAGAAGTGAATAATTTTGGGGGACCGATTGATAAAGAATGTTATAATGACATTCAGGACGAAATTCAAGATGAAATCCAGGATTTAGAGGTGTATTAATTACATTTATAAAGTTTTAGATATTTCATTAAGAACCAACTTACTGTGCAAAATAGTTAGATCATGCTTCAAATAATACAAAGGACAAAACATGCCAATACAAACACAATCGTTAAAACGCGGGTTAGAAGATCAATGTGATGACGCAATAAGGAAAAAGTCTTTAAGCAGGGAAGAAGAAAGGACGTATTATCCAAATGATCGCACTACACTACCACGAGAAGAAAGTCAAGGTGATCGCACTGCACCACCACGAGAAGAAAGTCAAGGTGATCATACTACACCAATACGAGAAGGAACATATTTCCTAGATACTGCCTATACCGCATCCGATTTTGGAGTTAAGTATTATAGACTTTGTCGCTGTCATGACGCAGTCAGTAGGTTTCGTCCTGCTGGTTGTTAGCTTTCATCCATTGCGGTGGTTCATCCTAATTTTTTTTAAAAAAAATGTTTACTTTTATCATTCTTTCTCATGGCAAGAGTGAAAAAAATTCCGAAGCTGTAAATAATTCATCTCAAATATTAAAGCACGGGTTGGAAGGTAACGAGGATAATAAGGGAATGAAGGGAAAGTCTGTAAGCAGGGAAGAGGAAAGAACTTATTACCTGGATTCTTATACCACGCCCCACCATAAGCGGACTTGCTTAGTAGATATGTGTCAACACCAACGTGTTCTGTATTAATAGAGTCACCAGAAATACATGCGCGAATGGTAACAATATTTTTACGAAAAATTATTATGACAATGATCGCGTAATAATTGATGATGTAGAAGATCTCTACTTTCAAGATGGTGATCCAACTAACGATTATAAAATAAAAGAGATTAATGTATCTCAAATGTTTAGAAAATATCAAAACGAGTCAGTAAGAATGTCTAAAAATGGCGGTTTATTCGTCGAATCTAACGTCCATGAGATTTTTTCATTGTCGTCGATATTTTTATTGTACGAAATTCTCATTCAAACAAAATGGTCAATGTATTTGGATCTTGTTTTCTTGACGAAATATATCAAAGCACATACAGTACCCCTCATCAGAAGTGTATTTTTTTATAAAATATATGTAGATCTACAAGTTTATATAAATACTAGAAAAACGGGTTCCGGAGCGCAACTTTGTACTTGCAAACAAATTTTAAAGAAGTTTAATTATTTGCAAGATATTAATAAAAATTCTTATAGTGTAAAGCGTATAACTATTATATACTTATCTTTACATATTTGTCAAATGAAAGCTAAAGGGCTTTAACTCTGTAAAATCTGTTCTTAGATGTAATTTGACTAAAAAAATAAATAAATAAAACGTTTAATTTAAAAAAAAGTACACATAAAACTTCTAAAACTGATCTGGCCGGATTATGAGAACAAATTAATTAAATTTAAATAACCATATCGATATTATGTGCGAAATTAATTAAAATTGTGCTTATATATATGTAAGTTGCTTTTCTTCAAGTATTCGTTCTTGTATCCTTGAGCCTTTTTTAATATGTTGATTAATTTTGATTTATTACTGCACTAAACTCATATATAACATTTATTTCTATAATTAAATCATTATCGCGAATTTATTTTATTACGAGCGATTAGAATTTATTATGCTAAATTTAAAGTGCATATTTCATGTCATATACTTCTAAGTAACAGTAAATAAAAGTTAAAGTGCGATATGTCATATACTACTAATTGACAATTTCG